AAGCTGGTCAATCGTGAGAAGGTGGAAATCGAGCCTGTGCTGAGGAAACTATTAATGAAGACCAGGTTAGTGAAGGAGAGGAAATGGCAAGAGCTTTTAGAGATTAAAAAATATATATTTTTTGGAAAAAAATAGGAAAAATAGATTAAGGAACATCACTACTTTTATCAACTTGGGTGGAAATAATAATTGTGCCACTTAAGTCAAAACCATGTTATGACTAATTATATATTCTTAAAACAGATGGGTTATGTGTACATTATGATAAAACGATGAGATGAAGTGAAATTACCCTGAAATAAAATGATGTATTTATGAACATGGTAATCTTCCCTTTAAAGCAATAGCTATAGCCACATCAACAAAATAAGCACTGATACATATAGCAATGGATTGGAGAATAAAACAGTATTTCTTTATGTTGCAAATATCACAAATTTTGGGGATCATCAACTAGAGACATTAATAATTAAATATAATTATTAGAATAAAAAGATATTGAAACTATTTAATTTAAAATAGGCATGTATTTCTATAAATTTATCATGACATTTTATCTTATTTTTAGAAAGAATTTTCTTGAGCAATTTTATCAAAATTTTATTAAAAGCTTCAACCAAGTCATTCGCTCTTGGATTATATATTAAAGAATAACGTCAATCTATTTGTGTCATTCAACAAATCAATAGATTTTAGCACTTTTAAAGGACGTGTCGTTGTCTGATAAGATTCGACGTGGTACCCAAAATCGATAGGCAATATGATCTCGAAAGAATTTCATCATATTGTATGCTTTAACTTCTCTCAAGGTGATTACTTCAGCCAATTTTGAGAACTAATCAATGACAACAAGGATAAACCGATGTCCTAAAGAAGAAATAATCAATGGATTCGCCAGAAATCTAATTGCTCAAGAAAATTGCGCTTCAACATGAATCTTTAAAAGCTTCAACCAAGCCATTCGCTCTTGGATTATATATTAAAGAATAGCGCCAATCTATTTGTGTCGTTCAACAAATCAATAGATTTTAGCACTCTTAAAGGACGTGTCGTTGTCTAATAAGATTCGACGTGGTACCCAAAATCGATAAGCAATATGATCTCGAAAGAATTTCATCATATTGTATGCTTTAACTTCTCTCAAGATGATTACTTCAGCCAATTTTGAGAACTAATCAATGACAGCAAGGATAAACCGATATCCTAAAGAAGAAATAATCAATGGATTCGCCAGAAATCTAATTGCTCAAGAAAATTGAGCTTCGACATGAATCTTACATTTCAAACTTAGAATTTCATTCTCCTTAAGGCAGATTTATTTTTTAGCTAACCAAATTTCTCTCGAGAATTGCGTCAGAGTTTATTTAGATTTGGGACATTGCTTCCTATGAGTGCAAGCCCTCATAATTAATTACCCCACCTTCGCGTGATAGAACTCTCGATTAAGGATGAATCACTTTAGCGTAGCTTAGAAATCGTAAGTTTTAGTCTCGTTTGTGGGGGATGGAGGTAGACCCAATAAGATCTCATGCTTCCGTCGTTCTGAAAATACCATAAGTTTCAATCTACCAACACTAACATCCATTGATTGAAGTGTTCAGAGAATCTGATTAGCAGTCATGAGTTGCCTCCTCTTAGGGATCTCGAGTAGACTGAAGTGGTTAAATTTAGGTTTTAGTTTTATTGCAGTTTGGGACTTATATCTATTAGAATGTCCATTTATTTAGTTTGTGGATTATGACTCCCTTTAGGAGTTGCCCAGCAGTTTTATGTGGGATGGGACATGCGACTTCAATTAGAAGTTGTTCGTATATTTGGTTAGGTTTGGAGCTTACGACTCCACTTAAGAGTTCTACATAAGTTTGATTTGGTTTGGGGCTTATGGCTCCACTTAGGAGTTTCTCATATGTTTAATTTAGTTCGAGGCTTACATCTACGACTCCACTTAGGAGTCCCGATAGTTTTATGTAGGATGAGGCTTACGACTTCATTTAGAAGTTGCTTTTGGATAGCTGATGTAGAAAAGGGATATAGGGAACCTATATCTCTTGATCACAAAAGACACACAAGAAGAAAACTAACACGATGAGTAGAACTTAAAACAAATTTTATTAAATAAACGCAAACGACCCAAAACTTGACAAACACAACAAAAGATACTAGGAGATTTTAAATAAATAAAAAAAACGCTATCCTCAGACAACCGTTAGAGCGGGTTCCTCACATGCATCGAATTTGTAGGATAAATAAGTAAAGTGCATAGAACTAGCAAACCGATGGTCCACCACTGCAAGACTGTCCCAAATGCTTCCAAATCAACCAAGACACGACACCCTAAAGTTGCTTCACTGTTGAGAAGAAGGATACAGATGGAGTGGCACTTGCGGAGAGACGAAGAGATTAGAAGCCCGAGAAGAAAGGGTGGAAAGAGCCCGCAGGATTTCCGGAGGGGATGAGAAAAGAAGGTTGGAAAGAGCCCGCAGGATTTCCGAATAAACCCGCAGGTTAATAGCAAATATGCTCACAAATATCAACTAACTTCCTTCACAACATTTTCTCATATTTATAGGCAAGAGAGAGGAATACCAAGAGTCACATGTCTTTAATTTCCATTAGAACCAAAGTATAATAGGCATAGAAAACTTCCCCCAAAGCTCACGGATAAACTCCCAAACCAGGAACCAAGGAGACAGCTACGGGAGACGAGGGAACCACACGGACCGAGAGCCACAGCCACGGGAAACAAGGGGCGGACACGGAACAAGGAGCCAGCATTGTTCAAATAAAATAAAAAGTACATAAATTCTTGATAGCATCAATAGCTCTTACAATTTCGATTGAAAGTTGCCTGTAGATTTGATTTAAGATGAGCCTCACGACTCTACTTAGAAGTTTACCTTAGATTTTATTTAGGATGAGACTTACAGCTCCACTTAGAAGTTTACCTTAGATTTTATTTAGGATGGGGCTTATGGCTCCGCTTGGGAGTTGCCCGTAGGTTTAGTTTAGGATAGGGCTTACGGGTCCGCTTAGGCGTTGCCCGTAAATTTAGTTTAGGATGGGACTTACGGCTCCCCTTAGGAGTTGCCCAATAATTTGATTTGGTGATTATTACTTCACTTAGAAGTTTCCAAACAGTAAGTCTTACCGTTTCAATTGGAAGTTGCTTGTTGATTGATCAGGGATAGGTTAATTCACTTAGAAGTTTTTCCTACTAGATTAGTTAAAACAAGTCTAACGATTTCGATTTGAAGTTGTCTGTTTGTTGTATAAGATAGGACTTACTGCTTCTCTTGGAAGTAGCCTGTTAATTTCCGTTTGAGGGTTTAACACTGCTCTTAGAAGTTCAAGTTCCCCAAAGTGTAGGTTTTATGGCTTCCATTGGAAGTTCCCCAAAGTGAAGTCTCAATTCGTTGCATTTTAAAATTAATTAATTAATTAACTAATTTATCAATTAAAAGAAATTTTAATTTATTGTATTTTAAATTTCTCAATTAATTAATTAGTTAACTAATTAAAATTTCAATTATATTTTAAAATTGATATTTAAATTTAAACCAGGATTTAATTAATCAATTTTTAAATGGTCCACAAATCAATTAAGAAAAATGACTTTTAGAATACTCGTTATTTTAATTTAATTAAGTAATTAATTAAAAAAGATCTCAAAGTGTTCATAAGTCTTCTCTTTTTTTTTTCTTTAGAAAATCCGACAGCCTCCCAATATCCCCTCCCCGCGAGGGGAGGTTGGGACGGCAATTGTCATTGGTTCTACCTGCCCGAATCAAAGATACGACAACGTAGTCTTTTCGAATTAGAAATCATACCACCAGGATTAAAGATACAACTGCGCAAGTTCGTCGAATTAGAAATCTTGCTCGGATCAAAGATACAACGGCACAGGTCTTGCCGTTGGTGGCACCTGTTTGCTTTGTATCTTATTATTATTTTATTTTGTTACATATAGCTTTCTTGGAATTCCGACAGCCTTCTGGTGTCCCTTCCCCGCAAAGGGAGGTTAGGATGACACTTGCAGTTAGTTCTACACACCCGGATCAAAGAGAGTTGTCGTGCGTGCATGAGGCAAAAGCAAATAGTTTGAATTGTTGCTCTAAATTAGTTCAGACAAAAACTAGGTAAACCAATCTCGCGCAATTGAGGTTGATCACAAGAATACTCTTGTGGATCAGATAATTAGGCTTGTGTAAGAAATCACAGGAGTGCGAATTGGAGGCAACGGGCAGAGCTGTCGTGCTTGGTGTGTGGGTCAGACAAAGGCGTGCTCACTCGCTCGGACAGAGGTGTGTTCGCGCGGGAGTTCACGCATGTTGGATGATGGGTGGTCGTGCGTGCAGGTGAATGCGAGTAAGATTCACGTGAAGCAACCAAAGCAACAATGTGGGCTGTCATAGGCGGGGCTGGACGTACGGTGACTGTGCTTGAAGCAGAAGAGGTATTCGGTCAGAGGTTTGGATTGGGTTAAGTCGAAGCGGAGGAGGTATCCGCTCAAGGCTATTCGTGGAAGACACCATGTGGGAGAGGGGAGAACGGACCGCTTGGGGTCGGATTCGAGAGTAGGTATCGAAGTGGCAGCATCTGATTCAGCTTACTTGAACGAAGAACGGACGGGCATATAAGAGGGAGCCGAAAACCATAACAAAAAACTGAATTGTGAGTTCCTTCCCATTCCGTTTCTGTATTATTTTGTGTGAGTGGATGTATCATTTCCGGAATGTTGCATCTATTCACTCAATATTTGAATTAGTGCATTTTTTTCTTCTTCTTTTATTTCTTATTTTATTTTATTTTATTCAGTCAATAGCAGGAAAATTACCCGGCAGCAGGTATTTGAGTCCTCATAAAAAATAATTGAAAAAATTATCCTACTTTCCACGCAACTTATAATGAGCAAGAATTTGCAACTTTATAATGAACTTTCCCAAATTAACTCAAATAAGAAACAAAAACATAATATAATTTGCCAAAATAGATTCACATACCTTCTTTGATGAACGCAACTCATAATTCTGTGGAACTGCACTCATCAGATTCTCAGGAACTTCTAGTAGATATGTATCTTTCCCCACAGTGACATAATTAATCTACAAAGTAGCACGTGAGAAGAGGTTATACAAACACAAAAAACATTAGAATGAACTTGAATCCTCCATATGAAAAAGTCCAAAGAGAACCAAAATTGTACCGATGAATTTCCCAGTAACTTGCGTTGGTCGTTTAGGTGCTCCATCAGACCAGATTCAACTTCACTTATGGTTTTACAGACAGCATCATAATCACTATCACACCCTTCATGGGGTATAATGCGCCCAGACTGTTCAGCTTCTGACCAATCAAATGCATCCTTGAAAAACTTCAATATTTTAGAAACATCAGGTAGACCTTTTCCTGAACCAAGTTATAACAAGAGTAAAGATACGGATAGAAGGAAACATGCTGATCATTTGAAAGTCGGTTATGTGATAATTGATTATACCAGTTGTCAACAAATAATGGATTATACTGGACTTTGTGCTAGCCAGCAGAGATGCCAAAGAGGTACAAGCTTGAACCATCAACTGGGAACCCCGCAGGACACCTAAAAATTCCATCAGCTTTTTCCGGGCAGCATCCTCATAAAGAATTACGGCACTGGCATTTCTTCCAAAAGCCTCACTGTTGTTTCCAAAGATAAGAAACTCAGAGGGGTGGCATATCAATCAGTCAACACAACTCTCATTCAATTTCAGCAGACAGATGTTTCCAAAGTAAATTAGATAAAATGTGAAGGAGCATCTCCAACATATCTCACTTTACACTCCAACATGTTTTAAAGCATTATAATGTTTACGGATGTTCAGTCCTATGCTTACAAATGATATCAAGACTGAAGCTGAAGTAGCATGAATTCAAAAAAAATCACATCAAAAAAGTTTTCATGGAAGGCTATGCAAACTTTAAGTTAAAATTCAAAGCTAATATTTTTAGAAATGCTTATTGTGGAAAAGTAAATAAATTTACTTTGAATTTTACAACTTGATTCTAACAAAATGTAGAATTATTTACAGACTTTTCTAAATAAATTACAAAAACAATAACATCATCAAGCCTTTATCCCACTACATTGGGTCAATTACATGAATCATTTTTCTCTATTGTGTCTTGTTAAGGGTCAATTTGTAATTTAAATCTAATAAAGAAATGTCATTTCTAATATTTTCTAATCTTTTTAGGTCTACCTCTACCTTCCTTAACAAAAGCCAAATCTAATGCATCTACTCTCCTAATCGGGTCATCGGAAGGCCTCCGTTTTATATGACCAAACCATCTAAAAACACTCTCTCTAATCTTATCTTTCACTGGAGCTACTCCAAACATTTCACGTATATGCTCGTTTCATATCCTATCTCTAAGAGTAAAAACCACTCATCCACCTGAGCATCCTCATGGACCTCATCTCTGCAACACTTAACTTAATATTATGCTTCTCTTTTAATGACCAACATTCTGTACCATAAAGCATTATAGGTCTCACCACCATCTTATAGAATTTTCTATTAAGTTTGAGGGGACTTTTCTATCAAACAACAAGCCCAATGCATTCCTCCACTTCAACCATCCAACTTGAATTCAACTAATAATATTCCCATCTATTTCACTATTACTCGGAACAACAGATCCAAGATATCTAAAACATGTACTCTTATTAATGACTTGATTGCCCAAAAGTCACAATCCCCCCACTAGATCTATTACTACTAAAATTACACTCTATATTCGGTTTTAGATCTAAAGCCAATTGTATTCTTGCAATCTTCATTGAAAAGCTTAACAAAATATCTCATCCATCTTTGTTGAATATCCTTTTATAATTAAAGCGCTTTTGATCTTCATCCTTAATGCACTTCACTTGAACTAAATTCTTACTACTCTTATCTCTTTATTTAGCTTATGTGTGTGTGTATATATATATATATATATCTTTCGTCCTCCTTAGCATCTAATTTATTATATAAATCATTAAAGACCCCATCAACTCTACTCCCATATATAGAGGACTGGGTCCAGAGTGAATTATAATAGTTATTTTAGGCAAGCATTTTTTTTTTTTTTGGTGCAATTGTTTGGATTGTTATCAAGATGCATATCCTATAGACTAAATCCCATGATTGTCTGGAATAATATAATCATAAGGTCCTGATTACACGAGTCATTATTGCCCAAATCAAACCCCTCTAAACATAAGAGTGGATCATATATTTTTCATGCACCAAAAGAGTCATTGCAATGGCCAATTTATAAAAGAGACTATACTATTAAATTTTAATCAACGGTTGTCTCCCACATGACAGTGGCAATGAACCATAAGGACTTGCGCCCATAGAAAAAAATTGAACTAGAAAAATAAATCTTCTAAAAAAAATCACTAGATAGTACTTTATCAACACTTATTTTGCCTCAAGAGAAAAAAAACATGCCCCCACCGCAAAGATTTTGGGTCGGGTAACATTTTTTGAGGTCTGAAAACATGAGCCAACACTTAAATAAATAAATATTATACAAAATTTATATATATAATGAAATAACATTTTTATATGACTAAATAGGCATTAAGAACATCTCCAAATTCAAGATTCAAAATTGGTAAATTTGTAAACAGTTTGGTATTGAGTCAAAGCTACATTAAAATCACTTGAGACTATTAATTTGAAGTCAATTTTTTTAGCTAACCTGTGTCATGATTTTGTGAAATATTGTAAGCATTTATTATAATATTTACATAATTTTATGTGTGACAAAATTATAATATGCATATACACCACACATTGAGTCAATTTGATTCTAACTAAATTAGCAAACCATCTTTGAGCAAAGGCGAATTGATTTCCAATCCATCAAATTCAGTGCATGGATTGAGTCTCACACTTGAGGCTTATTTTTGAACCTCAGTGTGTCAAATGCTCCTATGAGGGCACACGCATTGTAGACAGACAAATTGGCTGACACCATCTTATATTCATATGTAGTTCATTGCATGAGCTTCAGCAAGTCACCTTATTTGGGTTTGCTCAATAAATTTAGTGACAAGTGTGCAATAACAAGAAACTAGCCTTTTTTTTATCTTCTCACAAAAGACCCATAAGTTGGGGCGACTGATACATCCATGCAAAAAATGACATCTGGATTTTATTTCAATAGCTAATCAAGAGCGTATAAAGATTCATGCCTCTATAGATTCCGTATAATGGGAGTAAACTAAGCAAGTATACTGTCCACTGCCTTATCTTTGTAAATTGGTACTTCACCCAACCATTGAAATTAGCGAGAAAAATCAAGATATAATTTGATTAAAAAAAATAGCCACATGTTCCAAGTTCCAACACAAAAGCAATTAAAGGAAGTTTTTTTCATGCGTCATTAAAATTTATCATATTGTGTATAATGAACCAAATCACTGAGAACTTAATAAATCATTTAAAATGAAAGTAGGTAGTTTTGTTATGCTCTTCAAATTTTGGGTGATACTCTTGTAAATAAAAGTACTTTGATATTGTTTCTACAATAACAAGAATTTGATTTTACAACAGAAATTACCTCATTTAAACAAATCAAACAATTAGCAAACCAAACAGGCCTTCGAGAAAAACTTACAAACTTGATATGAAATTTGAATAATGAAAATAAATTTGAAAGCATCTTAAATGTTCTAAGTTTTCAGAAGAACTTTTCAAGAAAAAGTGTTCTTAACTTCCAAGACAACAAAATTACCAGCTAGCAAAATGGCGTGCAAGCAGGCGCTCCATATCTGGAAGTCTTGACAGCATTTTACGAAACTCCAGTGCATAGGCAAGACTAACACCCTACAAGCAAACTCAATGTACAAAAAAAAAAAATTTAAAACGGACTCATATTCCGGTAATAGAAATAAAATTGTAGGATCATGAGCAAGTATTCCATATGTCATAACCATTGATTTAAATATTGTGCATGCACTTGTTCAATGAGATAAGCTGTCAGCTGATTAGACTTTTAGGTTTTACTTAATTCAAGGAATTACAACTTTGGAAAAACTACACATACAAATATCTTCCTACTACTACTTGCCTGCACAACTTAGTGAGAAAATTTGTGGAATTTAAAATAAATGTTAGCGTCTAACCATATTCAACCAAATGATAGATTTCACAAATTTATTATTTTTCAAAACATAATTTCTAATATCAAGCAACCAAATGAGCCCTACGAGCAATGGTTCTCCCACAGGCCCCTTGCTTTCACAGCACCCTCACAGGTTTCTAGTGGATCAATTGACGTATCAAACTTTGAAATGCAATGTTGTGAAAAATAAAAGATACAATGGGATCCAGGAGCAAGAAGCATCGAGAATAAAGATTAATGAAGCATCAATCTTTTATTAGGCCAGAAGCTGAATGTTTACGAGGATCAGTGACTTAGAAATAATGTAAACCTTGAACATGGCTGAGATATTACACTGACTACTATGATGAATACAAAGAGCCTTCCAGATGGCCAATTTGTTTATTCAGTGGATGCCAAATTTTAGGTTAAAGATGAGCACATAATTTAAAGCATATCATTTTATTCTTGGATAAGAACAAGATTATTTTTTTTTTGCAAATTATGTTTTCATGAATTAGCTTCAAATAAAAAAATGAGCAAAATTTTATTTGATTTCGCAGCAGTAAGTCATTATTAAAACAAGATATATATATGAACACACACACACATATATATATATAGAGAGAGAGAGAGAGGGAGAGAGGGGGGGGGGGAAGAGCCCATGAGTTGAGGGAAATTGAGAACAAGTTGTGTATAATAACAAACGTGTAAAAAGAGAAACTAATAAATACAGAGAGATGGATAGAAAAAAGAGGGATGGAGAGAGAAAGGGGTGGGGCAGCTATAGATAAAACCGTAAAAGAGAGAAAAACCTGTTTAGTTGTTTTGGTTGTGACCAAGGAGAACGACTTCAATGCAGTGTGGTAGTGCCAATGCAAGCATGGAGGTGTTGCGAGAAAGTGGAAAGTACCAAAAAAATATCTTGCTGTTGTGCAGGATATACGTTGAAAGGTTCTTTAATATCTACTACTACAATTTTCTTACTTTGTGTTTGATCCTATCATTCTTACAATATTTAGAGTGTGCGGAAGAGAATATCATGATATAACCTTCTCAATAACAGTGGCAAAGTTTTTTTTTTTTTTCTTTTTTCTTCATCCTCACTTTTGCTCTCATAACTATTTTTTTCAAACTATGATAAGCCTTGCTGAAATAGTCTTCATCCACTAATCAATGACAAAAAGCAACAAAAAAATCTCTCTAGAACAACGAGAACAAATTGTGCTCGAATCATACAGCACATTAAATAGGCAACAAAAAATCGATCAACCAAGGAAAAAGAAACCACAACTAATGCAGTTAATTGACAATTTATGAAATCATCTTTAAACGCATTATTATTTGCTCTAACTCTTTTTAATTTTATGTTCGTAGAAACTAAGTTAGGGATTGCAATATAAATCAGAACTTGAAGCTTACTTGAATTATGAATCAATTTAAAATCAACTTGATATATATATATGCGTTGTTTTATTCTGAATCATTTCAAACAATATTGAATTTAAGTTTGAGCGAATAAAATTATCATGCAAGTTCTGCATCAATAATTTTGAGACAACTTTAATTGATTTTGAACCAACTCAAAATTGATTAACTTAAAGTTGAGTTAGCTCACAAACTACAGTCAAATTCGAATCGATTTTAACTCGGAATAAACTCAAAATTTTAAATTTCAAGTCAATGATACTTTGCTCAAAGTTGTTTCAACGCCGTCCTTGTTGCGTATATGTTTTCAGAAATAGAATTTTGATGATAACAAACACTTTTGTTTTACTTCGACTGCCTTGCCTACTAATGTTTTAGGACCACAAGATCGAGACTGCAAGTTGAACCAGCTCAAGATTGGGTAGATTAGGTCTGAGTTAGTTTGTAATGTACTTTTTCCTTTTCTTGAGTCAAATGTAATCATTATGATGTCTGATGCTAAGTAACCTTGCACACACACACCTAAGTGAATTTTTTCTGTCCAAACTTTAGAGTTCTCTGTTTTGAGTACATCGTCCAGGACGATCCAAAAATCGTCCAGGACAATCCGTCAAAAACAGAAACCCTAATTAGGGTATCCTGGCTAAGGCAGCAATCATTAAGCATATCGTCCTGGATGATATATGTATCGTACGAGACGATAGGCTCAAATCAGAAAGAATCAGCCGCCAGATAAATTTAGGAAGCTTTATTTTTTAATTACCGTCCAAGACATCGTCCTTGACGATGTAGTGCAATTATTCCTAAATTGATCTGGAGATTAAAGAAAGTAATCAAGGTTGATTGATAAGATCATATCGTCCTGTACGATCGCAGGATCGGCCAGGACTATCAGTTCAAAAACCTTGATTTCTTCTGGACGACCAGAGCGATGAGCTGGACGATTTGGGCAGATTTTGAACTAATCGGTCAGGACGATCGCGAGATCGTCCAAGACGATCAAGTTATTTTCTTCTGATCGTCCTGAGTCGTCCAGGCTGATTGAGCTTAATTTGTACTGATCGTACAGGACATTAAGAATATCGTCCTGGTCGATAATGTCGGTTCTTGAAAATCTATATAAAGGACCTATGCCTTTTCATGCACAAAACCTTGAGTGCTGCTGTCTTGACCTAAGAGAGCCTAGGGAGAGGGAGAGAGAGAGAGAGAGAGAGAGGAACTTGTGAGGGGGAGTTTATAAGAGGGTTCACAAAGGTTTCTCCAAGCAAGGTTCCAAGATGTCTTCTCCGTTCTTCGTCCTTCGTCCTTGGGAGGTCTACTTCAGCAATCGGTCTGGGTTCTCTGCCCGCTTCAGGAGAAAGCAAAATG